CACGCACGCACGCACGCACGCACGCACGCACGCACGCACGCACGCACACACACACACAGTCAATATCCCCATGCGCTTGCAACGACAGATGTGAAAACACACAAAGATCACATGAAGAGGGTGCGTGTGTTCTTCAAACTCCTGATAAGACTATTGTGTAAAATTCCTAAAATGCCACCACTAAACACACACACACAAATATTTCCACCCTTCCTGAGAATAAATACTGCACGGACTATCAACATCCCCATCATCATGCTGAGTATCGCTATGGCAACAGACTGACCAACTGAGACGCACCTGTCATGGTGGTCACTTTTTACATTTTCTAGATCTGTTGACAAAAATGTAAAGACTATGCAACAGTATTTGCCTTAAAGTGATGTGTATTCATGGCCTGAAGTAATATTTTTTGATAGGTTCATCAATGGTTTTGTTTTTACTTTTAAATATCATATTGAGTAGGAATGACCTTAAATAGAAAGATGAGGTGAATGAAAGAGAACTTGACGAGCAGCCATGCTCTTCTTCACCTCTATAATCCCGTTGGAGCTCTGATCCTGTCTACGTTGAGTGTTATGATAGAAGTGATGTTTTGTTGCTAACCAAAGTCCATGCTCAGTAATCCAGGTATAAAATGTTGGATTTTATACCTGGATTACTGAGCATGGATTTTGGTGTTTTGAACCAGTTTGACATGACTGTCAACGAGGGAGAGGGCGGGCACCAGAGAAGAGGGCGTGCCCCAGAGGAGAGGGCGGGCGCCAGAGGAGAGGGCGGGCGCCAGAGAAGAGGGCGTGCCCCAGAGGAGAGGGCGTGCCCCAGAGAAGAGGGCGTGCCCCAGAGGAGAGGGCATGCCCCAGAGGCTATCTTAGCACCAACATAACTGTTTTGTTTCCCACTTTGGAGGAGGCTGTTGGTGGAGAATCAGTTTTGTTTGACGTTTCCTCAGATTGATGAAGACCTTCAGATGGAGGGTGAAATGACTCCGCACAAAAAAAAAAAAAAAAAAAAAACGTCCAGATGACTTGACTAAAGTCAAACGGTTTACGGTGTTCGTGTTTCGAACTTTAAAAGAACATTTCTTCACACTTATGTGAATGATATGAGACAACATAGTTTGTCATTTTGCATCCCACTGTTAGCAAGGCTCATAAAGGAAAGTAGACAAAAGTTCCTACTCTTGCCACCTTGCTGACATCCCATAGTCTGGTCATTAATCTTACCCAGACATCACCTCTTTGAAACAGCATCCTCCTCCATTAGGACAATAAGAACTTGTTATTGTAACCTAATACTCCTAAGATGCCAGTTTCACTACCCTGCATGGTCTGCAGACAGCCCAAAGGACGACCTGGCAACCACATAAGTGGACAACCTGGCATCCACATATGAAAGACTTTGGGTCTTAGGAGGTTAAGCATCCAGTCCCAACATCCTGAAGGAAAATGCCTCCAGAGGTGTTTGTGTTTATGTCCTGACTACTGGCAATGCAAAGAAGGCAGGTGGTTTTAATGTTGTGGCTGATAAATGCAAATGGCACTAATAAAAACAGGACAATAGGTTCTTTTTGTACAATGTAACAGTATTTCAATTCACTATTCAGCTGACAAGGAAGACAAGCTTGACAGAACAAGCTGGAGCTGGTTCAAACTTTGATCTCCAAAGGTCATCTTCACTGAACCTGCTGCCCAGCCTGTCAATAACAATGAACACGCTCCGCTCTTTATAACTGCTAACATAAGTCACTATTTACTACCACGGCCATCTGCTCAGAGCTTACTCTGTGTGTGTGTATGTGTGTCTTTGTGTGTGTGTGTCTAAGTAGAGTCCATTGAGCGGGAATAATCCCATTAAATGACGCCAATTCTCTTTCAGCAGAGTGAACGACAGAAACATAAATGACAGCTGAGCTCTCTTTCTCCGACCTGCGCTCACATTAACACATGGACGTGTGTGTCATGGATAAACAATGTTTAATTTAATTCACACTACTACAAATGCTTTTGCGGTTTTAACTTGATGCAATAAAACCGACACTTCTAAACTGACACAGTCGATTTAGGTTACTGCTTAGCATCAGTGCAGACATGATTATAGTTAATCTGTGAATTTAATATTTGTTTGTACGTATGCGTCACCATACACTTCTTCATATAGGCGGCCTTTAAGGGACTGAATGATGTTGCAGCTGATGAGAGGGGAGTTAGGACTTGACGGACAGAAAAGTGGGAACAGAAGGAGGCACACCGTCTCCTCCTCCTCCCTTCTCATTGTTGAGAAGAAAAAGTGGGTTTAACCGTGACCTAAGGGTCACACACACATAATATACGTATACAAATATGCACAATCACCCTCTGCTGAGCATCTGTCTCCCCGCCTGCTGACATCAAGACCTTTTCGGGCCACAGAGACTTTGAATTCTCCGAAACGCACACCCAGGTCCTTCTCACAAACACGTGCCATAAATTTATCACTGACACTGCACATTATGCTAACACACACAGTCATGCAGATGCACACGACCAAATCCTGTCCAAATAGATGTTTTCATTTTGAAAGATGACTGAACTTGCGCATCATGTTAATGCCATTACAGAAATTACATGCTGTTGCACATTACCTTTGATGTTCGATCATTCTTAAATTAACAAACTCATCAACTCAACTATTTTTTACGAGTTTTTACAGTTTCTTTGTATGTGCTGTTCAGTTTTAAGTCTGGCAGAGCATAAAGTAACAACGTGCTAAATCTGGATTAAAGAAATTCTTAAGGCTGCCCATCAAAACCAGTCTGGAAACGGAGTCGCTCCAGTGGAACAGATGGGAGCACTGTGACACCAGCTGCTGAATGTCAAGAGTGCACTATTCAGTCAGAACAGAAGAAACCAAGCTGTTCGCCATAAACCTCTGGGCTATTTCTTTCACAAATGGTTCGAAAAGCAAAAAGAGCGCAGGGAGTTTGGTTGTTCTCATCATCTTACCTTGACTGAGTCCAACAGATCTTTTGGGAAAAATCGCCTCAAACCAACATCTTTTCTGAAAAGCAAAATGAGGAGATAGAGATCAGAATGTTTGACATGCTGTAATTAAACTGAGGAATGTTAATTGGCAAGTATTTCTCTGTTTATCTGATCTCAGCAGCCTTTTTCGCTCAACCAAAATTTTACAAGCAACAGTTCCAGATGAGGAACTGAAGAGACATGAAACACTGAGCATGCTGACAACAGGGCTTTACTCATATTCTCCTACCTAGAAGATGATAACAATTAAAACAAAGGGAAGGAGGTGGGGGTTGTGAAGGGGGGGGGGACCTCAGTGACATTAAGATGTGCAGAGCTATAACAGGAAGCTAACTAATGACTCATACTCCTCTGAGAAAAAGAGGAGTACAGCTGGAGGAGGAAATATAAAAAGCTGGGTTACATCATCTTTTCTACCTCATGTTTCTCCACCAAAGGTCACATCTCAAATCAATATAAAAGCTCCGTAAAATAGTAAGAAAAAGTCGAGCAGAAGATCTCAAGACTCTGTTCCAAGCAATAGATTATGTTCGCCTTAACATATCGGCAAAAGGAAGCCAAGACAATAGACTTATCGCACAGCTGGATCACTTGGAAGACATTATGACCATTATTATGGCAATTTACAAAGATCAAGTTGGTGAGTTTTTCCATGAAAACATTATCTAAATCCAAATGAAAGCCATGACTTTAGCCACTTTCAGACCATCAACACTTCTAAATGATCCAGTGACAATTAAAAATGCTGCTGCCATGTTTGAATTAATGTTTTTAAGACATTTCACCAACAATGACTGATTTGCAGTAATTAAGCCTTTTAACACAGCATCTGAACTACTCCCATTATTATCACAGTGCCTGGGTGAAATTGATCAGAAGAGACTTTTTAATAAGATTTCAGCTGTGACTGAAACACAATTACCGGTAAGCTAGCACCGATGTGGCAACAGGCTTATGCTTTTCAAGAACACTTGATCATTCAGGTTAAAAAATAGGCACCGACACATGGCCTCAAATCTATAGCCAGCTGACTGCTCACGTGTACAGTGTGTTGTTAGATCCTGGCATGTGAAGTCTGCAAGTTAAGATTGCCAAAGTTTTAATGTATTGAAAAGAGTTGGAGATGCAATTATAGCAGATCTGTATTCCTGCACTGTTGCTGCAATGTTTGAGGGGCTGCAAAAGTGAGTAAAGAGCAAGGAAAATGTACTAATATTACAGATTTATCTTGAAATACAGCGTAGCTTGCACTGTATTTTACAGTCATGATAAGAAAGAAGCATACAAATAACCAAGTTTGTTTTAATTGAAAAGAATATTAGATTTATTTTTATGTCTCAGATCTCGAAGATTACTCTCAGACACGGTCCATTGGTGTGGCCATTTAATGTGGACGTTTCAGAACCGAGTGGACCAACACAGACTCAAGGTAGATGTCAGTAAAAGTTTTGCCCGTCCCCAAAACAATCGTGTTTATCTGAATTCGGCTCCCTGACTGGCCTTGACAGGCCATCTTATCTTAATTCACCTGGAAGTTTTGTAAACCTGATGCTCTACCCCTCCCTCCCCTCCTACCGAGGAAGTCTAAGGATCTAAAAAAGTTAAATCTGGTCCTCTGGATTTTTCTACCTGGATTATTGAGCATGCATCAGGATAAGTCTAAGGATCATTCAGAGAGGCCCAGCTGCATAAACATTCTGTCATCGTTTCAGGACTCTTTGGATTCGTCCTTGGTCGTTCTCGACACCCCCTGAGAGTGTACGGATCTCCAGAGAGAACTATTTGAACTGAGCAATTTTATCAGAACTCTGCATTGCCTCCGTGCGTTGTCTCTGGACATGCTCACCTTGCCACCCCCACCTCCCCACTGCAGAATGTCGGCATCATTATGTGCTTGTGTGCAAGTTTTTTTTTTCATTATCATGCTGTTAACTTTCAGCCAACATTAAGAGCATGTTCTGAATGTTTTTTGTCTCCAAACCCAACGAGTCCTTTTTCACCACTTTTTTATTGTCTGTCCAAACAGGTCTCACTTGTAAATGAGTCTTTGAGGCTCAGTGTGATTTATCTGTTTAAATAAAGGTTGAATGAATGAATTTGAGTCAAGAATTCTATTTTGTTATTCAAAATAATCTGGTTAGCAGTTTTTTACTAATAAACACTGGCCTCAACACATGCAAGTATTGATTTGGGCCTAGATATTTTACTTCAGAACCTTATTCTTTTAACAAGGAAACTGCAAGGCTTTTTACACAGTACCTTATTAACATAAACAACACTTAACATTGTGTTTTTCATTCATCCATCCACACAATCGTGCTTTCAGCAGTTTTAATGCCATACATAGAGCACCATTTTATTCGTTTTATACGTGCACTCCTACTCCAATGGTTGCATCCAGGACAATGTGGCATTCAGGGTCCAGGCTCAATGATGTTTTGGAAGTTAACAGTGGCTCGAACAGCCGTTCTTTCACTGGTACGTGTTGTCCCACTGAGAGTCTAAGACTTTACTAAAGGGTCTGAGATCTTGAGGGTTAAGAGCACTTTAGAGACAGAACTGTTTTATGTGTGGTAACAGAAGTCTCCCTCAGCCTCCAGAAGCTGCTGATCAACTGCAACTTGGTCCTAAAATTAGATTAGAACCAAAAAAAACAACAACAAAAAAAACAACAGTGTTTGTGAATTCAGTACAAGTCAAATTGATTGGCACTAAATCCAACAGAGTCAAACATATGATGGGATATTCTGTTCAGCAAAGGCTTAGCAGCCCCTCAAGGCAAACTATTTGCAGGCAGCATCCAAACAGCACTTTCCTTCTATTCTTTCTCTGGTTTTAAATATGCATGACACAACATCTTTCCCAATCAGCAGAGACAGAGCAAGACCGTAAAAAAATAACAGGGCAGAGGAAAAACGGATAGAAATCCAGGAAGTGACGGAAGAACTGAGTGAACACAAAAAAAGATAAAGAAATACCAACAAAGAGACAGTGGACATTCTTCTCAATTAATTAAAAAGCTCGTTAGGTTGATGTTCGAGGCAGCTCATTAGAACCAGAACATGTTAGAGCCGGGCCAGTTTAGACCTCTGTTTGTTATTTTTTCACTGAAAGTCTTTGTTAAGAGTCCAAAGCGGGACAATGTGAAAACAAAAAGATGAGAACAAAAAGCTGGATTTTTAAAGTTTCTTCTTTAAGGCCTCTATTGCAGCAACATTTCTAATCAGTCGGGCAGAAACTGTAGCACCTGAGATTCTCAAACATTTAATGACCTTCAATATAACCAACGGTTTTCTACTCATAGCTCCAGGAAAGACAGAAATAAAGATATACTGATGGGTTTATCAGATCACTGAACCTGACAGCTGATTTCCAGGTAGAAAATCAGTGTTCTATGTTGAAGCAAAGTAAGAGTGGAAATGTATTGTACTCTTGGTTCTCTTTTCTCATAATGAAAGTACTTACTCCAGAAGTTCATAGTTGGATTTCTTATCCAAAGCGTTTCCTCTCATCTCTTTGAAAAACCTCCTGGAAACAAGTAAACCACAGTGAGAAGGTGAGGTCAGATCCACTGGCAATGTAGCAGACGTTACATGTTGTTTTTTTATATAATATTTTAAACGGTGTTCAATCTGCCCACAGACTAACAGAAAAACACCTTACAGTAAACCAAACAACTACAAATCTTTGTGAAGAGAAACTCCCAATTTGAGTCTTCAGTAATCTTTGGGGGCACGATTTACCTAATTTCTAGGCAACCCAACTTAAGAGCCACATCTTGTTCCGCCTTATTTCCATATTGTGTCATGTAGTCGTTCTTCACCTGGAAGACACATCGCAAACACAATTTCATCAAAACATTTTCTTCTCACACTCAAGTGGCACACACACACACACAGCAACACACAGTCCTACTGATTTAAATTATGCTGCCTCAGTGTTGGCAGCTGGCTTAAAGTATGTGTATTGGTATGTATCCGAGTGTTTGAGTACCTGATGGTAGAAGCAGTTGAGTGAAGGTTTGTCTTCTGTAAACTGCTGCATAAAGCCTTTTGGTAGATATCGGATTCTTAGCTCATACCTGAAGAATAAAAAATATATATATATTAAGACGACAATCAAAATGCTTGAAAAAAAATATTTTCTCAACATAAACAACAAAAATCAGCTGAAACCAACTGTTTATTCACAGCCTTTAAAAATGCATGGACATGCCTTTGGTTACAGTGAAGTTGGTAGATAGTACAAGCTAACAGCTTTGTAGTAAATACTTAACAAGTACCATGTGCCTCTTATTAATTTTGTAAAATATTGATGGTCCAGACTTGTGTGATTCGTTTGTGAGGAAAATGGGAAAAGTAGAGCAGTTTTATAAAAGCAAAATAATAAGAAACTAATGTTTGAGAGGCATTAAGAAAACGCTACTGAGAGCAGTGATTGTAAAACCAGTATATTAGAGAGAGGCTCAGACACACAGAGATGTTGATTTAGTCAGACAGAGTAGACATCTGGTTCTCTCTCTGTCTCTTTATGTTCACAGTAAAAAAAAAAAAAAAAAAAAGTATCCTCCCCACAATAGCATTAGCACCCAGACAGCCACAATAAAGGTAATACATTTACTACACCCTGAACATTCAAACTGTTCTACCACACAGCCACACTGCACCACACATGGTCACAAAACACAGGTTACACAATAGATCTGGATGCTGTTCGCAGTAAATCACAGCAGCAACTTTGGAGTGGAAACGACAAACTGCTGAAGCTGTACATCCATCCATCCATTATCTTTACCCGCTTATTCCATTTTGGGTCACGGGGGTCGCTGGTGCCTATGTCCAGCAATCACTGTGCGAGGGGCGGGGTACACCCTGGACGGGTCGCAAGTCCATCACAGGGCCACATAGAGACAAACGAGACAAACAACCATTCACACTTTCACTCACACCTAGGGACAATTTAGAGTTACCAATCAGCCTAACATGCATGTTTTTGGTCTGTGGGAGGAAACCGGAGCACCCGGAGAAAACCCACGCATGCACGGAGAGAACATGCAAACTCCACCCAGGAGGCCCCTGGACCGGGGTTTGAACCAGGGACCTACTCGCTGAGAGGCAGCAGCTCTACCAGTTGCGCCACCGTGCTGCCCCTGCTGAAGCTGTCTGTTTTGTGAAATGGTGATTTTTGAAAAAAAAAAAAAATAATAATAATAAAAAAAAAACATTAAAATCCTACTGCATCAAATTGAGAAACTGTTCACAAAGCGTAATCACCACTTCCCAATGAAATGTGCTTTTTTTTTTTTTGTAGATACACACTGGCACCTGCCTCGTCTATGCTTAACTCAAAGATAAAAAAAAAAATGTCTAAAACTTAATCTAAAATCTACTAAATAAAGGTATTACCTTTACATTTAGCTAGTTAAATGTGAGGGGGAGTTACAAACAAGCACATCTGGCAAATGATAACTGTTGGGTGAAAAAAGTTTAAGATTCTCTATTGGACTAATTCAACACACTTTTATAAACATACATTTACAGAATTAGAATGGTAATAGCCAACCATTTATCAAAGGTGTTGGCTAACAGTTATCTTGAATTGGATTGGATTGGGCCATCTTTGGCCAATTGGGCCATCTTAAATTGGATTGACTCCAAAAGTTCAGTTGTAGATGTACATCCAATGATAACTTTCAGCAAGTTCCTTTTAAATTCATAAAATGTTTTATGGCAGTCACTGTGTGACCTTGAGCCCTAGAAGTGTAACAGAGCTTGGTTTGGCAACATTTGATGCAAACAAACAATTAATAACCCAAGAAACAAGTGGGAATACTTTGTTATGGGAAACCATTTGAGAAGTCTGCAAAGGAACCAACACTAAAGCATCTTGGTCGTTTTTAATTCCTTGTTTCTTTGGGATTTATTTGAGAAGCATTGACGCAAATAGTGTGACTACTGAACACAGCAGAACGGGACCCAACATCTCTTTCATCTATTTTCTTTAACTTGCATGCTTAAGCTTAATCATAATTATTGAATGAGTTTCTGCGTGGTTATGACTATAGGACGGGTTGAGATGTACCACCTGTGGAATAACTCTAGAATGGGCAAAGTATGACTGGAATATTGACAAAGCTTGGTGGTGTGATGAATGTTACCTTTGCAACTTTGAGGTCCATGGCTCATGGCCTCTTCCATTACAAAACCACCCTCAACGTGCCAACAGTCAACAGACAGCTGTGTGAGATGTTGGATTGCACAGCCAACATTGTGCGACATTCCCTCTGGGATGGAAGTTCCTTTATACACTACCCCAGCGAGTATGCAGAAGAAACCTACTACCCTACATACACCAAGTTTTGGCAGTGGTCTGACAGGGAGTAGACATCTACGCATCTGCCTAATGCCAGATTTGTGGCAAATCACCCACAAATGAAGACGTTATCTGATAAATAAATATCCAGCTCCAGAAAATACAAGGCTACTCAAACTGAGTCAATCACCAGTTGAAACAAATCTGTGTGTTTGAGAGAGAATGTGCAAATTTGGACTCTTCTTCCAGTCCAAACCCTAGTCATGCTGCATCTATATGTGTACCTTCTAAAATATAATCAGGTGTTCTAAAAAATTTCAAGAAAAACAGACAATTGCTAAAATGTTATGCACCAAATGTTCAATGTTCCAAAAAACGTAAAAATAAATAAAACTAAGTGAAAAAGAAAAGAAAAAACATTTGTTCCATTCTGTTATACTTCTCAATCTCTTGCTGCTTTGTAGTTTACTGTGTCACTTGAATGCATCATTTCCTGTACATGTCAAACTGAAAACCTGCAGGCCAGATCTGATCCTTACATTTTAATTCGGGCCAAAAATTGATGCGTTAATTTGACAAACTAAGTACTTTTTTCTTATTATTTTGCTTAAAAACGGAGCTTGTTTAGTAAAACTTCACGTAGCAATAAGCCATCTCTGAAAGCAATAAAATGGTTTGATTTCATCATAATCTATTTGATTTTGATGTGGAAAGAGCAGCTAAGAACATCTAAATGAGACAAAACAAACGCTTGCAGAACTTACAGACAAGATGTTGAATATAACGAGTTAAAATGCATCAGGGCAACAGAGTTAGCCTAATTATCTGCTTTATTTTGTCTTGTCATTTCAAAGCACAATCATAATAGTTGTATGTTTTGACTTTTAAAATGATTATTTTAGCTGATTTGATGAACTAGCTCTAAAAAATATACAGTACACAGGATAAACAAAACAAACAACAACAAAAAAAACTACTGTTACAGTGTAACCCATAAAACAAAATTCCTCTAATTAGCAAGCTTTGTTTGTAATTGTAATATAACAAGGTTGAGGCAGGTCCTCTGCATGGATTCTTCTTTGTTGAACAAAGAAGAATCTTGGGGGGGGGAAGTAATTAAAATTTCTGCATGAGAATTTTTTACATAAAATGGTAGAAAGCCAAGGTTGATTTAAACCTTTAGTCAAAATAAAAATGCCCTTTAATAGGACCATGTTTTTAATTGTTGTGCCTGAGAGAGGCCTGATTTACAGTTTAGTAAAATATCATTTGTGCTAAATATGTAGTGCATGAGTGCAGCTGTCCAAACAGCAGAGTGCTGAATGATGAACTCAAACACAGATATTTTCTTACCTCCATTCCTCATTGGGTCGAGCTTGTTCATATTTCTCTCTGATGTGAGACACGCCCATATCTGGGTGGAGCCAGTGCACCTGGTCTTTGGATTGGCTGCTGCTGAGGCGAAGGCCAAAACAAGAAGTCCAGCGCACCTTGTGGATGTCCAGAATCTTCTGGATGATCCCCTGCATTGAAAATAATAATAATAATAATGAAGACAGAAATTGATTGAGAGTTAAGATTTTTTGTTTGTCAGTTTTCAGTGGAGTCTGTCCATGCAGCAGGCTAACACATATATAGATTAACATAACATTAAAAACATAGAACCACAAAAACACAATCAAGAGATAAAAATAAATAAATTACAAATTTAGCCCATCTGCTCCATCAAAAAGTTTGCTTTTACATCTGACATTTTCTATCAGGTCAAGGAGTTTGTTTGAGCGTGTCTAGGTGACACCAAGCGATATAACGCGTGTTCCCACCCATACAAGTTGGCAGACATCAGACAGCCACAATAATGCTTAAAGAACCATGTGTGTTGCCATGTAAATGGCCAGGGGGTCTGACCTATATACTGAAGAAGAGAGGGATGAAAGGAAAAGAGAGGACAGGATCGTTGCTGTGACAAACGGCTAACAATTTAAGCTCTACTAGGAAGTTTCTGCGTCATGGTTGAAATTAAAAACATGCCACAACACTGGTACACACAAACATTAAAAAGTGCCCCCTCAGGTTACTTTCATAATTTCTTTTATGAGCTGACAGCTAGGACCTTGAGCTGAGGATAAACTGCATAAAAATAAATAAAATAAATTGCTTTTGATGCTACTGCTGAGTGTGAACTGTAAGTAAGAAGGCCTGAGGACAGTTACAAACACTACATGTCACTGTGGAGGTGGTTTAGTTTAGTATTCTAATAAAAAAGGTCATCAATACTGAGTAATAAATCTAACCGTTCATCCTGAGTACCTTCAATGAGTTTTGACAAAGAGCTGTGAAAAACACTTCATGGAATAAACACCATTTTTTCCACAAAGACGCCACTAAAATTTGTGTTATTATGATTTTAAAATAAAGCACAGTCCAACATGTGGGTATAAAATCTCATAAATATGTTCACTTGAGACAAAATTAGGTGATGATGTCAACTATCTGTGTGGTTCATAAATTTAAAACCCATGACCGAACAGAGAAATGTGTATCCGTACCCTGACATCAGTCGCATCTCCATATCTGATGTTGGAAGACCAGAAGTTCTGTTCAGTGTTGGTCTCAAAGTGATGGAAGACTTTCAGAACCCTGTCCACGGGTCCAGCCATGGTCCGGTCTGATACTCCCACACTCAGCTGGGACTTGGCGCCTCCCAGGAGGGCATTGTTCAGGTTGGGCTCCAGGTAGGCTGTTGCCATGGTTTTCCCTGCTGATACCGCCGCTGCTAGGTGTCTGTCATATTCTGTAAAAAGCAAAGCAGAAAAAAACTCAAGCTCAATTAGAAAAATACAAAAGATATTCCTAAACTTATTTGGTTGTAATGTTTTCCCCCCAGGTACGACTTGCATCGTAGTACATTGTACAATATTCTTAGTGAATTGTCTGGGCTTTTTTTTTTTTTTGTTTGTTTTTTACTGAGAGTTCCTACTTGGGGTTTATGTGGATCAATTCATCTTCTGCATGCTGGGAACTTTATTAAAACAGGCCAAAACAAACACTTTTGACATCAAAACAACTACGTTTACCATCACTGACAGTTAAATTAATGTTAAAATTGATACAATTTCTAGTTTTGAAAGATAAGCTTGTCTTAAAAATGTGGCTGTGTGAGGCACATATGAGATCCTACCTGTAGTCAACTGAACTGCTCAGTACCCTGTTAGTACACTCCCCTTTCCTTTCTACACAGGAGACAATAAAAATTAGCTGCACTTAATTCAGCTTCAACTTACTTTTTCATTTATTTTATTTATTTTAACTATTTATTATAGATTTTTGTACTCTTTTTTTATTTATTTATCCGTTACCAGTAATTGTTAGGCTTCTTGGTCTGGGACCTGAGTCTGAATTTTGAATCACAAACATGCAAATGTGAGCTGGTATGATAATTTAAAAAAATCCTTGAATCCTTGTAATTAATCCTGCACTACAATAAACATTTTAACGTTTCTGTCTGCACCAGACATGTTTTGGCCCTTAATTGCTTATTAATTTTTATATTCTCTGTTATTTTTATATCTTGTGTGATTCCTTGTGTATGTTCCTTTGTACTGAAGCTCTGGCACAACAATTTCCAGAGGGATCAATAAAGTTATATCTTATCTTATCTTAGTTTGGAGAAGCAGTGACCATTTGTGAAGGGAGAACAAAAGAAATGCACAGAACTTAACCACCAGAGGAGCTAAATGTTATCTTTTAAAACAATCCAAAATTCAAAAGGTTTTACAGGCAACTGCAATATTCTGAATTATTATACCAGGTTACAGTTGTATCTCAGACAGGAATTATGGGACATCATCCATTTCGCACCATTTACTGAGAGACAATGAACTGGGTTTAAGTTCAAGTTTCTTTGTCATTCACATCACATGTGGTACATGAGGTGGAATTATGTACACAACGTTCCGGTTACACAACAAAAGCAAAAATATAAAGTATAAAAAGAAACATTATATAAGGATCTAAGATGTATACTACGCTAAACGATGTACGCTAAACGAACACTAAATGATAAGTTAAAAGATCTAACATAAACGCTAAATGATATGATAAATGTAAAATACGGTATATTAAACAGGAGCCCGAACATGAGCCTGTAGTGAGTAGATGGGTATGAATACAGCAGCATGGATAATCAGCAGCATGGATAATCAGCAGCACAGATAAGTCACATACACCAGTTAAAGCAGCATTACAGTGATTATCCTGGTTAGAGATTCATGAGTCTAACAGCCTCAGGGTAGAAGCTGTTCCTCAGTCTAGTGATTCTACACTTAATGCTTTGCAACCTTCTGCTTGAGGGGAAAGAGGCAAAATATGTGTGCTGCTGGATGAGTGGGGTCCTTCATGATGCAGGTGGCCCTCTTCCTGCATCTGGAGGTCTGGATGTCTGTGATGGTGGGGTGATGGTGATGGTTAAATAGCAGACTGATGCAAAAAAAAAAGTGTAAAAAGCTTCAAAATAGTGTTTGAAAAAGTGAAAAATACACTCTCTTAGATTCTTTGTAGCAAGCATCATTTAGATTGACTCTCCTGGCACAAACTTTCCCTGCTCGCTAAAATCAAGTCTACTGATCGCTGTTTAAAAGCAATAATCCAACAACACTTCACTGAAAACAGTTTATCCCTTTAAATGATTAGTTGTTTAAGTTTGTAAGAGACAAAAGTGAAAAAAAAACCACTACTGCAGTTAGTCTTTACATTTGAACATTGACTTCTCAAGTAAACGTTTCAGCTATCACACAGATGCTATCAAATCTACGACCCAGTCAATGTTTGTAACTTGGTGTGTGTCCTTCCTTTTTAACTCTACTGTCAGCTACAGCCTGGCACCTCTAATGTGGCACAATCAAAACCTCCTCAGTCACATTTTCCACTAAGAGCTTCCTATCCTGATTGATGCCAACTTTGTACAGCAAATATCTATTCTCCATGTGTTGTTCTTAGGCAAGATAAAATACAATGAACAATACGATCCCGAAGAGAGAAATAAAGAAAGAGCGGCACAGTCAGGGTCAAGTCTTATTATGTAAGCATCCGTGTGTACAGGACAGAGAAGACAATGCTCCACAGGCTGCCATCTTGTCCTGAACAAGAAGCTCTGACACACTTCCTGTCATTTCATAGCAACTTCAGGTGGGAATGAACAGAAAATAGAAATCTTTGTTGTGACGTGTAAATGTATGCAAGTGCAAGTGTGTTATCAAGACTTAAAAAAAAAAAACAGATTCAAGTTTAATTTTCTGCCATTTGTCCTGCCTTCCTGTACGTCTCCTCCATTAAAAGAAAATGGATATGGTTTAGTAGGTGTAAGCACACGCATGCACATGAACACACACTCACACACACTTTATGAGCATATCTCTGCAAACCAACAATAGCTTTGGCTGTCTTTTCCCATGGAGTCAGGTGTCGCAGAGTGAAGAATTGTGTGTTTGTGTGTGTGTTTTAAGGAGATTACGTTCATACCTCTGACCCAGCACACGGGGAAAGGGCTACAGCCACTCATCGTCATGGAAACGCATGTCTGTCCCTTCCTGTGCCTGCCTGCACCGAGGACAGAGAGGCAACTTGCGGCTTCGCAGCCACGCATGGCACACGCTGACTTTACAAAACTCTTACATAATCCAAGCTCCAACTCGCACACAGTCTTGTAAGAAAAATTAATCTCTCACGCTACGGTTATGTCTTCAAACCATTATTTCCGAAAAGGCAAAATCCACAAAAAGCAAAAAATGTTTGCAATGACACTGAAAAGTGTCCACACAGGACAAAATGACCGTGAGAAGCTTCAGTTTCTCTTCAAGATCTTCTTGCTACAAAGACAAAACGGTTTTCCAGAGTCAAAGTTACTTTCATCCACAAACTTCTGCCTTCGTCTTCTTCTGTCCACTTCTGAGGTTCTCTCTCAGCGATCTCTTTCTGATGAAAACACATCATTTGCTTTTCGCTCCAATTCTGGTTCGTGCCTGTACGGCATAGCTACACAGTTTCCCTGGAAGTGTGGAGCAACCGTTGCTCAGGAGAGACTGGGTTATTTCAACCTGAAGTCCCTGAGTTGGTGAGAGAAGCTCTCCTTCAGCAAAAAACTCTAGTCTAATCCGACTCGTACAGTGCTGATCCGGAGGACTTTCTGTTCGCCAGTGGTCAAAAAGAAGGACAATTACTGCTCTCAGTCAAAAACAAATACAAAGTTATCGTCTTCTGTCGCAAACAGAAAGTGAGGGGACAGACTGAGCCAGGTAAACAAAGGAAGCAGAGACAGAGACGAGGAGAAATGCAGCGATTGTTTCACAGTGAATGAGAGGAAAACGAGGGCAGAGCAACACAAATGAATGAAAGTTGAGTGAGAAATTGGAGAGCTTGAGAGGGGGGCTGTAGGAGGAGCTAGAAACTATTAATGTGCTAATTTCGTTCTTGTCATTCAATTAAAACCACTCCCACTTCTGCTCATAACGCTGATCTCAGCCTATTCTTAAATTAATATTGGCAAAAGGTACAATATTTAAATAATTCTACAAAGCACAGATGAAGTTGTTGCATTTATTTGCGATAAAATCTTTACTTTAAATGAGCTTTCTCAGATAATCCCACTGTATGCACAATCCTGAAGAAAAATAAAAATCTATATAATTCAAATCTTTTTTTCAAACTTCCCCTGTCTGGTTATACAACTTGCAAATCCATAGCCACACTACAAAATAATCCTTGTTCAAACGAACACTTGAGCCAAATAAGATTACCTAAACATGCACATTCTCAGTACATTTCTAAAAGATTTGCATGGAAAAAACTAAATAAACCAGTAAGAGCGAGAAGAAAACAGAGTCCTTGTCAGAACAATAGTAGCTCTAGTTGTGTGTAAACTCACAGCTGTCACTGAATGACTGACGTCTAAACAACCATCTATGCCAATCTAAGACACATTATACTGCACAATTAAGACAACTTAAACTCTACTTTTATCTTCTGGTTGCAAAATAAGCGCAATATGCGCTCAGTTTGTTTCTACAAACAAATATGACGTGCCAACCACAGGAAGAGACATCACCTTTTTCAAATTATGACTATAAAACTATAAAACATTCTGGGAAATAATATTAATTGACAAACATGTAAAATCTTAAGGTAATATGTGTTTAGATGATCAAACTGGGCATTCATTCAAGTGTGTGTTTTCATGAGTGTGCACGTGTGGGTTTCCTATCATTTGTGCTCCATCCAAGGCATTCCCCATTGTTATGAAAATCTGGTGGGAGCAGGGGGGTGGTGGGGGGTAGAGTGTGTGTTTGCGTGCACGTGTGTGTGTGTGTGGACCATTGAGGGTCTTTTGTCCGGGGGGCCGGATGTTGTCATGAATGGGAAGAGCTTTTCTGGGACCGAGCCAAAAGTCTCTTTCTTGCTATTTTGTTCTGCTTGTGAACATAATTAGAACAAAATGTATGTCATGTTGACATCATTAGTTCTCAGTGAAAGTTTTAAGCATTTCAAAGCTTTTGGATGAAAAAAAAAAATCAAGATAACGTAATCAATTATAGATGTGTTGTAACTCTTGAAAGACACTCACATTAATACTTTGTGCTTGTAAGTAAATCAAAGCGTTAAAAATGTTTTGAAGCAGATTATTAGCTTTAATACTCTGCATTTGATTTGTAACATTGTCTTAAATCTCACTCTGGCAGTTGATTTAAACTGCATATATAAACACCTTCTCCTTCATAAACAAAATAAAACAAACACAATGTATATGGTACTTAAACATCCTCTCCAACAAACTTCCTCTGTTGCTTCCTTACTTCCTCTCAGGTGGCATTAACTATTGTTAAGGTCAACTCAAAGAATTACACAGGATGATACACAAAACAATAAAAAAAAGTTGCATAAAGGTAAACTTACTCTGTAAAACCGAGAACACATACTGATAATCGACAAAAAATGATAAAGTTGAGACTTTGATTCATGCAGTATTTAGGTGCCAAGTCATGCTTTCTGGTTAAGACACTATTGTCTGAGAGGAAAAACATGTTACATCCTCAACATTATGTCACTAATATATCTTTTCTTTTAAGAAATTCTGTGCTTGAGCAAACAAATACTGATGATTGAAGCTTGTCAGTTTAGTTTTAGCCTTCTATGTCTGAAAATACCTCATTTTGAGAGACGTGTTTGAAGGGGAAAAATGACGCCAGTAATAATGCTTTAAAGATCCTTCAGTGGTGGGGTGGATTATAGTACCTAAAAATAAACTTTTGCTAACAATTACTAAATAAAACTGTGCCCTTTCAAACAACTTGCCACAGACAATGTTATTTTTGACAGCAAAAGCTCTCTGCAATGGTTAAGGTAAAAAAAAAAAAAACAAGTGTGCATACAACATGTTGACAAGCACGTGCCAGAAAGGCAAATGTGACTGGCCAGATTATAAAACCAGCAGTAGAAGACAAAAATCTTAAAAGGCACACTTGGAGAATTTTGTAAATTGGTGACATTTTGACAAAAGCCTATGAGAAATATATCTTTAGGACGACAGGAAATAAGAAATTCAGTCTCCTTTTAAGTGTCTTAAATTAGCATTAGTTTGAACTAATGCACCAACTCAAGAACTTTGATTTTTGTAATGATATTTAATTTATAATCACTTTGAATACATTCTGAATAAGCTTAAGAGCAATTAAAAAGGCTCCAGGTGTATTTATTGAGGCAGTGAATGCCCTCTAAATGTGCGCTTTAGTGAATAAAGTAGATGATTTGACAGGCTGTAGCAGGTGTTTGAGGGTCAGATACTCACCTGTGTAATAGGCAATCCTGGAAATATCTGAAAGACAAACAGCAAAATAACAGTGAGCCCATTTCTTTAGCTGTGAGGCTTCAAGCTAAGAAATAAGAAAACAAAAAGGAAAGTCAACATTATTAAGTTAAGACCTAAAGCTGGCGTCTCTAACTCCATTACTGTGAAATGCAAAATAAACTGCATGGGGTGCTCCACAATTTATGTCAATTTTTTACAATTAAAAGTTGATTGATGTTTTTTTAACATGCAAACAATTCAGTGATATTGATTGATGTTTTTAAAAATTGATTTAGAGTTGTTGATTCACAGGACTCCCAATGAGGCAAAGGTTCAAAAGGAGTGAACGATTAAAGCCGGAAATGCGGCACAGCAGCCCTGTTGTTCAGCGTTAAGGGTTAGCATGAGATCAGGAAGTTACCGGCACACACTTTTATTCAACTTTGATTGAAAAGTAAAAGCTAACAGAAACAAAGAAAATACTTCTGTGGTTCCACAAAACAATTTGAAATTTTTATAACATTTGTAATAATTTAGAGTTAAGAATTTGCATAATTTTTTTTAATTTAATTTATCCCTGTGGATAAAATAATCAGGTTTTCCTGCACATGCTTCAGAGGTGTCAAAAACATTTACCGTACCGTACTTTCCAGTCCATAAGCTGCTACTTTTTTCACAGGCTTTGAACCCTGCGGCTTATACAATGCTGCAGATAATTTATTTATTTATTTTAGGGGTGCACCGTTTGCAGTTTTCTGGCCGATCACCCATTTCTAAAAAGTCTGACCTGCCGATTCCGATTTTGGCCGATACCGACCTTTTTTGTAAGTGACACTGTCAAGTGTGATGAGGTCACAATGCACCTTCAATTTTCCAGTTTTATTTTATAGAAAAACATACCCTTGAACAATATCCTAGAAACAATACAAACCTGTTTTAACTGTCCATGAGGTAGTGCTCTGAAAATAAAATAAAGTTCTTAAAACTAAAAAAAATTATAATAATAAATTGGTAAAATCGGTTTCTCGTGCAAGTTTCGGCCGATTTTTGATTTCCCAAAATTAAGGAAATCGGGGCCAATAAATCGGTCAGCCACAAGCTCCTCCTCCTCGTTCTCTCCTCCAACCCTTGTTTCATTGGTCCACTGTGACCTGTTTGGTAATTTCATAGGTCAGATTTTTTTAAAAACCTTTATTTAAACAGGTAGTCTCATTGAGTCACGAGGACCCACCCCCCAGGAGAGATGTGTACTGGGCAGCTATGTGAGCGCCGGGGTGTAACGAGGCTGAATGTTTTGGTGGCAGGAAGCTCGTCAGCCCGTCAAAAAACAAAAACCCATAAATTAGCCGCAGCATTGTATAAGCCGCGGGGTTCAAAGCGTGTGGAAAAAGTAGCAGCTTATAGTCCGGAAAGTACGGTAGTCTGAGGATTCAGGCAAACTTGATTAAACTAATCAAGAAAATCTACATTATTAGTTTTAACCTTTCTCATACAAGCATGTTGCATGTTTTTTTTTTAACAACAAAACTAAATAAATTTATTCTTGCAACATTTAACTTGATAAACAAAATATTACAAACTTTAATTTAAACCCCTTGTAACTGCTTAAAATTATCTTTTGGTTCTAAAAGGACACAACTTTTTTTTTTTTTTAACTGCTGTGATACTCCACACTCCACTGAGGAAACAACTCCTGAACTCTGACAGGAAGTTCAGGCAAAGCTTTATGGGAACATGACACCCACTCATGTGTTAGAGGGAGTCAAAAAGGATAAGTGCCTAAGTGCTGCAGACACCCTGACGTATGCTCAAATATTGGATCTGCAAGCGCACACACAGATGATGTAATGATCAGAAGAAAACCCACAGAGCAAAAGAAAATGCTATAAACATGACTCACCATGGCCGTATTAGCCACAAACACAGCGTAATAATAAGAAACACTTTCTATCTGTGGTAATAATTAAAAACTTATCCAAACAACTTCCTCAAAATCTACAACACAATCATAAATGCAAATAAGAAAAAAAAAGTCTAAATATTTCTGCTAAATTATGTGTATTAACTTGTATAATAAACTGAAGTTTATGTGATGTTTAATTACATTTGTAACTTTTCAGTAGTTAAAACGTTTAAAATGTGATTTTACCAACTTTACAGTGACTTTTAGACACAACAGAATTATTTATTACAAAGCAGAAACTGTACATTTTTCCCAGTTTCCTCAGTCCTTTTGAATATCACACAACTAACAACACTATAAACTGCTTTCATTTTGGTTATAGGTGACTAAAATGGGCCACTATAAACTCATTAGGACAAGTTTATAAGCACAGAGTCCTTAAGGAGTGTCTATAATGACGTCTAAATAGACCTGAACGCTTTCACCAACATCTGTTTCCTTGGTTTGGACAATGTGAGAGCTCCACTCTGTCTCAGTTCCTTTGTTAAGGATGCAGAGCAGTTAAAGTGCTGTTTAGCCTGACATCTGCAGCCATAATGGCTTTACTGCCTAAACTCAAAAGCAGTGGGGCGTTGCCATTTTATAATACATGAAAATGTATAAAAAATTAATGATTTACAAAAGGTATTAAAAGATACAATGTATTTTACAACCTTACATTGTAGACTCCATGTTTGCCTGTATTCTTTTAGGGCTATGCTGCACAATCAATACAACTAATAAAACATCTAAACTATGTATTACTTCCCCCATTGCAGAAGATGTGGGTGGCACAAGGCTTATTAAAAATAGTCAGCTTAACAGTATTTATTTTAGTGTCTAGCTCCAACTTAAAAGGCACACAAACACATAACAGTCTGACAAAAATAACAACACGCTTGCCCCTCACACTGTGCTTAAAACAAAGAAAAAAGACCAAAAATGTATTTTACAGATCTATGCACTGATTGTGTCATTTGTCAAACTTGCAATGTGAAACCTCTGACTTTGAACACAACCTAAAATTGTACGAACGACAAAACAAATCTGTGAAAAGGGACTCATTTAGCAATCACAAATCAGTTGCCATATTTATTCATTGGGAAAAATGTTTGTTTACAAATAAAATAGCGCTTTGTTTTATTTTGTTATAAATATTAGAGCTGCATATTTATGTTTCATTAATTTATTGTAATTTAAGTGCACACAATATCATTTCTGTCATATATTTGGCAAACCAGATGACTCACTTTATCCTAAATGCTTAATGCTGCTTAGGAAGACGTTTGAGTTCAAGAATCTTTTATTATCCCCTGAAGGCAATTTGTTTCACAGCTGGTAGTGAAAAAACATTAAAAGCAATCAAGCCTGATTACTTCAGAGTTGAGTCCTGCACCATGACAACAGATATGTGTTCAGATGAACGCAGCCTGAACTCACCATGGAGTAGGTGATGATCAGACTCTCCCAGAATCCGTCTGGCCTTTTTAACTAATCTCTCCTTGTCTGTGAGGTTCTTGTAAAGTGTTGCCAGCAATGTTGCTGCACATCCTGACAATACCAAAGAGTTTGTTTTTTTGTCTATTCTAACATACTAAAAGTTCAAATCAAATCAGCAGATGAAGTATATGAATTGCCAAAGCAACTCCACAAAGGGACAATGTGGGTTTATTGCAACTAATCTCATTGCAATTCAACATTATCACAACTGGACTAATATATATATATATATAT